CTGTAAAGCAGTACTATTCACATAGTGAATACTTGATACTTATTATTTCTTCTTGTTCTTATTTTATTCTTTCTTGATTAGAGTGAATCAGTCTGAGTGTGAGTGTTTTTTTTTTGTGTGTGTAATCCTCAGTGTTTAAGAAGACTGCTTATCTTTGTGAAGCATAAGGTTAATTACCATGGAAAATATAACAATTCAGCTGACTTTTGATATTCCAAACATGACTTCCCTTTTGTTTTTTTTAATATACTTTAGATGAAGGTTGACAGAGCAAATTAGTATCTCATTAAATAGTTGTACACATATTGTTTTGTGACATTGGTTGCCAACCCCACGACATGTCAACACTCTCCCCTTGTTGACCTTGGGTTCCCCATTACCAGCTTTCCTGTCCCCTCCTGCCTTCTCATCTTGCCCCTGGGGTGGTGTACCCATTTAGTCTCGTTTTATGTGCCTGTCTAATCTTTGGCTGAAGGGTGATCCTCAGGGGTGACTTCGCTACTGAGTTAAAAGCATGTCCGGGGGATGACTTCCCATTTGAAACAGTTGGACTATTACTTTATATTAGAAAACTGATACCTTTAAGTCCAGAGTAAATGGAATCTAATACACCTTTTGCCCATTTAAATATTTTTAAATCTGATTTCAACCAATATTTTATCAGTGAATAGCGCATTTTCTAGAGCTGGTATGGAAATAAGATTAAGGAGCACTTCTTCCATTAACCATCTGGGTGAGTTCACTATCATCTACTGGGTTATTGCAGTAGGCTTGTAATTATCTTTCTTTTCCCATTCTTATCTCCCTTCAGTCTATTCTTAACTCAGTGGCCAAAGGTAAAGCATAGGTTAGGTCATGACCCTTTTCCATTTAGAACCCTCCAGTAGCTTCTCATTTCTGTGAGAGGAAAAGCCAAGGCCTTATATGACCTTTCCTTCTGTAACCCCACTGGTCTCATCTCTACTACTCTCTTCCTTCGTTGTTCTGCAACGGACGCAGGGATCTTTCTGTTCCTCTAGTACTCTAGGCATGCTACCCTCTCAGGAGCTTCGCATTATTTTCTTTTCCTAGAATTCTCATCGTACATGCATGGCTCAGTTTTTTACTACTTTCATTTCTTTGCCCAAATGTCATGTTCTTAGTTTAAAAATGTTGTTTCTATTCCCTGCACTTCTAATTCCCCTCTTAAACCTGTTCGTCTTTTTTTTTTTTTGCATAGCATTTACCACCTTTTAAGACCTGGCAATATCCTCCATAAAAATTTCAGCGTAGGGAAACCCTATGGGACAGTTCTACTCTATCATATAGGGTAGCTATGAGTCCACGGTACACAACAGCATACGACCCAGCCAGTGGTGTGTGGTAAATGTTTTACAACAGGGTCTTTGAGTGGAGTTTCAATATTAATATTGGTTGATATTTTCGTTTGGATTAATGAGTAAGATGAAAGTGAAGCAAGGAAGATGTGTGTCAAAACTCCACTCATTGGCCAATGACATGAGTGACTTCTGAATAGGATAATAGTTTTCAAGTACTGGAAAAAGAGTCCCTCGAATTTTTGTGCTATTTACAATGTAACGGTTATAGATGCCACACACTTAACATTTTCTCCATTAGTTTCTTAAGTCTAGACAATCACAAAACAATAAATCAAGCACTGATTGGTAGTTTTTGCCAAATTCTGCGTTGTAAATACTGCCACCATGGCCGATTTCAAGCTACCAGTTTGAAGTTACACACTGAGAAGAGATGCAGTGTTGGGAAGAGGTGCACGATGCACAGAGATGTACAAAATAACATATAAAGTATGCCCACAAAACAGATTCATTAGTCATAAATAGTCATAAATAACCTCTAGAACATAGATAATAGTAAAATGTAGTAAAATAATTAGAAAATGATGTGTTTTGAATATTTATTACCTTCTTTTTAATATAATTTAATTATAAGTTTATATAATTTAATATTTAATAAAGACTGTATTTAACCCCCAGCTTGCAGACTTGCTGAAAATGTAACACCTGGCTCTTGTGAGCCAGTATGAGCAGGCTCAGCACACCACTATAAATAATTTACTTGTTTATTTTCTGTCTTCTTCATAGAGGCAGGGTTTTTTGTATATTATTTATTGTTGCACCACATTGTAGGCAGTCAATAAATACTTGTTGAATAAACTTTAATTAAAATATTTGAGGTTTTCATATATAATTTAAAATTCATGTGAACAAATGTCGACTAGATGCTCTGTTAAACATAAACCTTGTCTTCAAGGAAGTGTAAGCCTTTCTTTTTTTATATATAAAAGTTTCGATTATACCAGTAGCTTAACTGAGCCCTAGAGCAGTGGTTCTCAAAATTTATTATACAAAAGAATCACCTGGGGACCTTGTTAAAGTGTCGATTCTGATTCAGTATATCTGGGGTGGAAATACAAATTCTCATCAGGGGTCAAACTGGAATGAACTGGTTTGAAGCCCTGGGTTAGTGTGACTGGAGCTTAGCGCATAAATGGGATGCAGGTGAGAGAGAAGCCAGATGAAAAAGGACTGTGTTTGCTAAGGAATTTGGACTTTATCTTAAAGGTGATGTGAAACCATTGAAGGTTTTAAGCAGAGTGGTTGCACTGTCAGATTTGTGTTTTAGAAAGTTCACCCTGGTAGTAGTCAGGAGACCAGACTAGAATGGAGACCAAGTAGTGGCCTGTGCAATAATTTAAGCAGAAATGTCTGAGGATTATGGGACTTGTGTGGGTGGGGTCGGGGACTGAATTAAAAAAATACTAAGGAGATAAAATCAATAGAGTTATTGGCCAGAAAAAAGGGTGAATGTGAGGGTGGCTTTCAGGTGTCGACTGGGGAGGGTAGGTAGTCTTCTTTGCTAAGAGAAAGAAATTGGGAAATTTAGAAATCAGACTTTTTGCCTCAAGGTACTTAGAGTGCCAACTTGAGCAAGGATATAGATGCTTTTATTCTCTTATATTTATATGCATGTATTTTCTAAAATGTAATGTGAAAGAGTATAACAGGATGTATTATCAAGGAAGGTTATGGAATCCTTTCTGAAAGTCTTAGATTAAGGTAGACTCTTATTTAGGGTAGTTTAGGCATGAGTGATCTGCTTGAAGCGAGAGGAGTGAACTACCTTTCATCCAGTCCTTGGATTATTTAATATCTGCTTCATGCACTCTTTAAATCAATCTTGAATTGAGAAATAATAAATTCATTTTAGAGAATCCAGAGGGTTTTTTTTTTTTCAATTTAGGTGAAGGTTTACAGAACAAATAGCTTCTCATTAAACAGTACACATATTGTTTTATGACATTGGTTAACAACCCCACGACATGTCAACACGCTCCCTTCTTGGCCTTGCAGGACCTTTTATTATTATTTTTTTTTTGGTGAAAATATGCATAGCCAAAGATACACCTTTTCAAAAATTTCTACGTGTACAACTCAGTGACATTGATTACGTTCTTCCAGTTGTGCTGCTGTTCTCACTTTAGATGAAGGTTTACAGAACGAAATAGTTTCTCATTAAACAGTACACATATTGCCCTATGACAATGGTTAAGAACCCCACTACATGTCAACACTGTCCTTACTCAACCTTAGGTTCCCTATCACCAGCTTTCCTGTCCCCTTCTGCCTTCTAGTCCTTGTCCCTGGACTGCTGTACCTCGTTATTCTCGTTTTGTTTTATGGGGCTAATCCAGAGATTTTTACACTGCCATTCCTCTGTCAGAAATTTTACATTTTAAAAAGATGTGTGGTAAAATTGGCTTGTCAGGGTAAATTAGCTAATTTGGTAATAGTTCTGCTGTGGCATTATGCATTTTAAAATACAAAATGCTTTTCTTCAGAGTACAAACTTTGATTTTCAAGTCTTTCACTGGTATCATGTGGGAATTAATGTTCAATCCCTTGCTATTTAACACTCCTGACAACGTTTCCTTTTATAGCTTTGTCACATCATTTTCTCGAGTCAAGATCTCTTTTAGCTGGTTGAGGTGCTTAAATCCTTCAGGGAAAGAATGAGCCATGCTCCTTACCAGGGAGCTGGAGGTTCTGGTTTCAGATGTTGAGATTTTACTCTTTAAAGGGGCACTCATTCTGTTATGTTTATTCATTGGTTCTTGAATGTTCTGTTGTTTATTATCTGTTAGGTCTTCTTTCCCTATAGTTTTCTTTCTTGATTTCCGCCACACTTTTGAAAGCATTAGTAAAGTGCCTCTTCCAGTAACAAAACAAAGAACTGACTATAGTTTAACACTTTTTTAATTGACAGAGTTCAAGATGAAATTTGGACCTTTTTCATTGAAAACTATTAGATTACTATAATGATTATAGATATGAAAGTATACTCTGATGTTATACTTCTAGCAATAAATTTCTTTGGATTAATTTAATCCTAATAGAACTTTTTTTTTAAGTGTATTTAAAGGAAACTTTATTTTATTCCTCTTTGTAAAACATATTTTAAAAAAAGGTGATTGTAGTCCCTGCTTTACATAGTGCATTCTAATAGTAAACCAAAAAGATTTCCAAATTCTAGTGTGTCTGAATGATTTTTTTCCTACTAATTATGAAAGTTTTCAGAATGCTTTTAGAAATTGCTTGCAGTTAATAATTTGGCCTCCATGTACAAATTTCCCTTTTGAGGACTAACAGTGGGTTTGAGACATAGATCAGTGGGGTTCTTTTTGTATTATTACAAATAATTACAATTAAAATGCTTGAAAGTTCTTAGAATAACATTTATTAAAATGCTACTAGAGGTTATTGTTGTTTTTCAGGGACTAGTATAGTAGCTGTCTTCTCAAAACATAAAATTGTTTGCTTGAGTTTAGTGTTAACCTAAGAGGAAATGTACTAATTGATTACTTTCGCCTAAACCAAAGCCTTTAATTTGAGACATTAGCTTTTTATTAGTTTAGTAATCTGAAGTTTACGTATGTGAGAAGGTAATAGTTTATCTTTCATATTTCTTTTTTCTGTTTGCAGGTTGTAAAAATTAAAATGAACAAACTACGGCAGAGTTTTAGGAGAAAGAAAGATGTTTATGTTCCAGAGGCGAGTCGTCCACATCAGTGGCAGACAGATGAAGAAGGGGTTCGTACTGGAAAATGTAGCTTCCCGGTTAAGGTAGGAGCTGATGTTTCTATAAATTCCATGTGTGGAAAAGAACTGACAGTCTATTGTATGTGAAATCCCATTAATTAAGATGATTAAAAGAAAACCCCATAAAAACTAATCCCCTCATATTCTGCTTCAGTGATAGAGATGAATTAGAAGAAAAAAAGATTATAATTAGTGACATTTTTTCTTTATGTTTAAATAATAATTTGTGGTATATATTCTGGGATCAGTACAACTGAGATCACTTAAGATGAGAATTGTTGTTATGTGCTGTAGAGTCGATTCTGACTCAGCGACCCCATGTAACAGAGTAGAACTGCCCCATAGGGTTTTCTTGGCTGTAATCTTTAAGGAAGCAGATTGCCAGGTCCTTCTCCCATGGAGCTGCTGGGTGGATTCAAACCACCAACCTTCTGGTTAGCAGCCAAGCACTTAACCGTTGCAGCACAGGGCACCCTACAATGAGAATACAATCCTAAAATACCTAAAGATACCGAATTATCAGAAATCAAATTATTTTCAGTTGGTGTCATGGATTGAGTTGTTTCCCCCCAAAATATGTGTCAACTTGGTTGGGCCATGATTCCCAGTGTTGTATGGTTGTCCTACATTTTGTGATGTTGAAGAGTATTAGGGTGGGATTATAACACCCTTACTAAGGTCACATCCCTGATCCAGTGTAAAATGGAGTTTCCTTGGGTTGTGGCCTGCACTACCTTTTATCTCACAAGAGATAAAACGAAACGGAAGCAAGCAGAGAGGAGGGACTTCATACCACCAAGAAAGCAGTGCTGGGAGCAGAGCGCATCCTTTGGACCTGGGGTTCCTGCATGGAGAAACTCCTAGTTCAGGGGAAGATTGATGACAAGGACCTTCCTCCAGAGCTGACAGAGAGAGAAAGCCTTCCCTTGGAGTTGCTGCCCTGAATTTGGACTTCTAGCCTACTAGACTGTGAGAGAATAAATTTCTCTTTGTTAAAGTCATCCACTTGTGGTGTTTCTGTTACAGCAGCACTAGATAACTAACACAGTGGGATATGCTTTCTCAGTAGCAAGGTAGAGGGGTTGGGAGTCTGCTTTCTTAAACACAGGCCTGGAGTGTTCCAGAAAAATCTCAGATCAGAAGAGTTAAAAGGGATTTTTTCTTTAATCTTGTAACTTTTAATCATATAGAGGTCATTTAAACTAATGCCTTCATTTGTCAGACCAGGAAATAGAAGCTCGAAGAGGTTAAGAATATAATGAAGATCTAGAGAAGGGAGTGCTGTCATAGGTACTTCTTCTTACAATTATTTGAGACTCTGGAGAAGAAGGATCATTTTTAATGACATGGAAGAAATATATATGTTATACCATTTAGTGAAGAAAATAAAAATGTGTAATTATGTAAGCACAGTGTAAGATGTATTAAGTGTGTGGAGAAAAAGTGTAGAAGAAACTAGACCAAAACATTAGTATCTTGAAAAAAAACTTTTAGTTTAATATAAAATGTTAAATTTCTTTCTTCTGCTTTGTGTATGTTCTTGTAAGTGTAAATATCGTTATTGTGATTTTCTCCTCCGTTTTTACTGCCTCAGTATCATTGTATGAAACATGGACTAAAGCTTCAGAAAGGAAAAGATCTTCTATATGACAGGGATAGTTATTCATAGAATATACAGGTTAAATCATGGTTTTTTTAATACACTAATCTTCCCCAGTCTGTTAGTAACTATTTTCCTGAGCACTTAGCTTTATTTAACTCATTTGCAAAAACTTCTTTGATAGGAATAATACATAAATATTTTAATTTTTTAAATTCTTAGTATGATATTAAAGCATTAAAAAAAAAAAAACTCTCAACATAAGAACTAACACTCTTCTCTAATGCCTCCCCACCAAAAAAGTAATTGGCTCATTTTGGTTATAGAAGTTGAGTATTTACAAGTATGTGGAGATGAACATTCATACACGCTGTTGGTTGGAGTATAAATTTTCAACCTCTTAGGATAATTTGGAAATTGTAGTTAAAATTTTAAATGCACTTATCATTTGACCAGCAGTTTTACATCTGAGAATTTAATTTTGTAAATATACTTGTAAAAGTTTTCATCCTGGCATTGTTTGTAATAATAAAATTTGGAAACTAGTAGTAAGCTTAGCATATAAGGTTTCCTGTGTAGGCAACTAGGAGGATGATAGGATTGCTTGCTGAGCTAGGGAACCCTCAAGGAGGAACAGGGTTAAGGGTAGAGAAAATGAGTACCTTTTGAGGTGCCTATGGGAAAGGGATATGCACATGCAGATTCCCAGTAGCAGTTGGAAATATGAGTCTGGAGCTCAGAAGAGATTTGGATCTGGGCTGGAGATACAAGTTTGGAAAGACAGTGTATGAATTATCATTGAAGTCGTGAATAGGTGAGATTGCCTAGGGCAAACTCTTTGAGGAATACCAACGTAGAGACAGGCAGTGAAATAGGTATCTTAAAAGGAGAACGAGTAGCCAGAGAGGTGGAAAGGAAACCTGGAGCTTGTGGTCATAAAAGCTAAGGTAAAATTGTTTCAAGGAAGGAGGAAGTGGCCAAGGTGCTATAAAGACACCAAGTAAGAACTGCAATTTTATTGGATTAATAACTTGAAAATCTTGGTGACTGATGACAGCACTTACAGTAGAGTGGTGAGGATAGAATCCAGATTGCAGATTTCAGTAAACTGAGGAGTGAATGGATGCAAAATAAAGGAGACAGCAAATCTAGAGATTATTAGTTCCAGAAGTTTGTCTGAACAGAAAGATCAGTGGTTGTGTGACGATGGGGAAGATTGGGAGGGACACAAGGAAGCTTTTGATGGTGATGATTGTTTATTTTGTTAATTGTGATGATTTCTCAGATACACGCATATGCCAAAAACTCAACAAACTACATGTACATACTTTAAATATGTAGTTTATTGTATGTCAATTATACCTCAGTAAAACTGTTAAAAAATAAGTTTATCTTCAAAGGAGAGGAGAAAGGCAGAGTAGGAAATGGAATGAGAGGTTGAGGAACTTGGGTGCGAGTGTGTCTGTGGTTTGGTTATTTTTTAACAGTTTTATTGAGGTGTAAGTTACATATCATAAAGTTCACCCATTTAAAGTATATGATTCAAGGGTTGTTTGTATTGTATTTTGTTTGTAAGATGGGAAACACTTGAGCATATTTAAATGCCTTTATAAAGGAGTTTATAGAGAGTGGATTAGTTTTAGCCTGAAGAAAGAATGCTGCTTTGGTTTTAACAAGAGCAAGTGTGGAAAATAAGGGTGCAAATGCACGTAAGTTTGTACTGCTGGTTATTCAAAGTTAATGGAGTTGTTTTCTGAAGACTTATGTTTTCTCAAGGAAATCGGAAGACATCTGTAGAAAGAGAGGGGAGAAGTTATGGAATTGGGTTTTGAGGATAGTGGATTAACAACTCTAGAGTATAAAAGAGAGAAGCTTATAGAAATACAATTACTGGACAGTAATCAAGTGAAACTGCAACTCGTTTGATCTCTGCTGTGTATGTTTAAAGATACTTGTGCCTATGTAAGTATAATAATTTTGGATTAGAGTAAAACTTGTAACTATTCTAGTATAAGAGGTAGTTTTAATAGAGGAGTAATTTTGATGTTAAAAATGAAATATTACCTATACAAGACTTAATTCAGTGGGTCTCAAAATGGGGTCCCCAAAACCTTTTCATAGGGGCCCTTGAGCTATTAACCTTTTCCAGCTATATATCTGTGAGAGGCCAGATTTTCTTCATAGACTTCAAAGAAAACAACTACAGCATTGTAGATGCAAATGCAAATATGAGAATCCAGTTTTCTTCTATTAAGCTAGTTACTAAAGAGATTTGTAAAAATGTGAAACAATACTGTTCTTCTCACTGAATTATCTTGCTTTGGAAAATACAGTTATTTTTCATTAAAACTATATTATTTATGTCAAAATGCAGTGGGTTTATTATTGTTATTTTAAATGGATTAAATATTTTAAAAATTTGTTAGTTTTAATTTCTAATACAGTTATCAGTAGATATAACTGACATAGACAAAATTTCTTTGGGATCTTCGATGTAATGGTGTCCTGAGACCAAAAATTTTAAGAAGTGCTAATTTAAACAGTATGCTTCATCAATCCAGATAATGTAGTAAAAATCTACCTGTAATTGTTAACTAACATTATACTAAATAATGCTAGTATTAATTTTGGTTGTTTAATACATTGATGGAATCCAACCCAGTCTATCAATTAAAATCTTAAATCTCATTATGTAGAATATATGGTATGCTAAAATGGGCCTTCTACTGGTCATATTATTTAAAGATTGTGTTATCTTTATATTTGAAGGGATAGAGATTAAGAGGCTGGATACAAAATTCATATTTATTAGATGTGTTTATAAATTGGTCTTATTATTTTAACTCACTATTAAATGAGATGGGCCTTTCTTATCCCTTTGGTTTAGAGATATAAAACATTTATTAAGTTGTTACTAGAAATTGTGCTAAAATGTGCAAGTAGATGGAGAATTGAGCATAACAGATGCTAGAATTGCTTGTGTGTACCTCCTAGACCCACATTTTGCTCTAGTAAGTGGTCTGCCAGAGGGTTTTGGGGACTTGACTTTTCTAAAAGGAGGACTGCCGTTGTGCTAGAAGTTATAACAGAGTCTTTTAATAACAAGTCTTTCTTATTTTGCGTGTAACTATATAGCCATGGCATAGAAAGTAGAGCTCTTACTATTTCAGTATTTCTAAGAGGCTGGAGCACTGGTGGTGCAGTGGTTAAGTGTTCAGCTGCTAACCAAAAGATCGGCAGTTCAAATCCACCAGCCACTCCTTGGAAACCCTATGGGGCAGTTCTATTCTGTCCTGTTACGGTCTCTGTGAGTGAGAATCGACTCGACGGCATTGGATTTGGTTTTGGTTAAGAGGCTAGTTCCTGATCCAGTGGCTTACCTACCAATGTCATAGTTAATTGATCTGTGATTTCAGAAAATATT